AATTTACCTTCGGCTTACTTTTGAAAAATACATGAATTGCTCCATACAAGCTTGAAATTGGCCGCAACAAAATATTTTTGAAATGCTCAGTGCCAGCTAACCTGTTGTGTAGTAGGTAGAAGCCCATGTGCAACATGTGAAACAACCAGGATAGCCATCTGATTTAGTTAATAGTTATGTAGTTTATAAATCTACACAAACCAAGATTGAAGTAATTCCCTGAATCTGAGTTGCAGTGGTATGCTGGAGCTGGCTTATACCAGCTCATGAGAGATGATAGTGCATATCTCTTCCCAACTCCACTTTCACTGACATGCCCTTGGTAGTTTGAAATTGTCCATGGTAGGACTATTTACATCATGATAATCAGCAAGTATAAATCAAATCATGGTTGTACTACCTCACCCAGAGCCAGTTATTAAACATTTATCAGCACACCACTGGTTAACACTATCAGTTCATCTGCTGAGCTCATCAGGAAAACTCAACAAAAGTGCTGTCAGTTCTGATTATTATATAAAAATGCAATATGAGTTTCATCTCCAGCTTTTCAGTTTAGAGCTGAAACTATACTATCGGCAAGGTGTACCTTCCTTATTCATCCTGAATGGGGTGACAGTTCATGAGGTCTACCCAACAAACCAGTTGCCATCAAGTTGATTCTGACTCATGGCCACTCCATGTGTTGCATAGTAGAACTGTTCTCCATGGGATTTTCATGGCTGTGACCTTTTGGAAGCAAGTTGCCAGGCCTTTCTTCTGAGGCACCTCTGAGTGGGTTTGAACCTTTCAGTTTGTAGTTGAGTGCTTAACCCTTTGTGCCAACCAGGGTCTCCTTCATATAATCTACCTGGTTTTGGAGTCCCTGGTGGTGCAAATGGTTAAGCCAAAAGGTTGGCAATTGGGACCCACCCAGAGGCGTCTTGGAAGATAAGCCTGGCAATCTGTTTCTGAAAGGTCACAGCCTTGAAAACCCTATGGAACAGTTCTATTCGGCCCACATGGCCTTGAGCCAGAATCCACTCAATGGCAACTAACAACAACAACCTGGTTTAAATTTGCAAGCATTTATATGCAAAGTCCCCAAGTTTAAGGTCAATGGGACTGTAGAAATGACTAGAAATAGATGGGCCCTTCTTGGAAGACTAGAATAGAACATACATACACCCATAGTAATACGAAAACAAAAGCAAGTAGCCTCCACAGAAGAATCACCTCTGACAAAAGAGGAAAAAAATAACATAAAATAGATTGGGGGGGAAATAAAAACTATGAATACAGGTTCAAAGTATAGTTAAAACAGAAATACATTTTCACAAGACTGCTGAATATTTGCCTTATACCAAACACTAGTGTGTTATTGGAGTCCCCGGGTGGTGCAAACCGTAAACGCTTTTGGCTGCTAACTGAAAGCTTGGAGGTTGAGTCCACCAGAGATTCCTCAGAAGAAAAGCCTGCCAATCTACTTTTAAAAAAAAGCCATCAAAAACCCTGTGGAGCACAGCTCTACTCTAACACATGGGGTTACCATGAGCCAGAGCTGACTCAATAACAATTTTTTTTTTAGTTTTATTTACTTTAGGTGAAGGTTTACAGCACAAACTAGTTTCTCATTAAAAAATTTATACACAAATTGTTTTGTGACATTGGTTGCAATCCCCACAATGTGTCAGCACTCTCCCCTCTTACCTTTACAGCCTAGGTTCCCCGTGTCCATTTGCCCAGTTTTCCTGTCCCTTCCTGCCTTCTTATCTTTGCTTTTGAGCAGGTGTTGCCCATTTGGTCTCGTATACTTATTGAACTAAGCAGCACATTCCTCACGTGTGTTGTTGTCTGTTTTATAGGCCTGTCTAATCTTTGGCTGAGAGGTGGACTTCGGGAGTGGCTTCAGTTCTGAGTTAGCAGGGTATCCAGGGACCAGAGTCTTGAGTGTTTCTCTAGTCTCTCTCTCTATACGTATATTTTAGGTGTATTGTTAACTTTACAGGTGGTAGATTCTAAAGAATTGGTGAGGGTTGACTGGAGCTTTGACAAAGCTGAAAGCAAGTAGCATTTCTCTTTATCTTATATTTTTCCTTCTCTTTCAACCTTCTCCTAACAACTAACATTAATGTCTTTGCTATGGTCTATTGGTCCACATCAGGGGCTAGCAATCCTTTTTTTTTTTTTTCTGTAAAGAACCAAACAGTAAAATAGTTTAGGCTTTGCAGACCGTATGGTCTCTGTCGCAACTACTCTGTCACTGTAGCGTGAGAGCAGCCATAGACAATAGAAAAATTTATAGGTGTAGCTGGGTTCCCATAAAACTTTATTCACAAGACAGGCAGCCTACTGGATTTGGCCCACAGTCCACATCTTGCTGACCCCTTGTCTAGACTGCAAAATGTGTAGGAGTGTTGATTTTGCTTGGGAAATGCTATTGTGTAGAATAGTGTTTGGCAAACTAGGCATAGGAACGGGCATATGTATCAGAATCATCCACCACCCATATCTTTGTCTTTACAGAATCTCTTATTCCAGACCGATCAAAGGGAGCATTTAGGTATTCCCTGGGTTCCCTGGCCAACACCCATTTTAGCATCATTACCCCAGTTGCCACTAGTCGATTCCAACTCATAGTGACCCTATAGGACAGAGCAGAACTGCCTCATAGGGTTTCTAAGGAACAGCTGGTGGATTCGAACTGTCGTACTTTTGGTTAGAAGCTGAGCTATTAACCACTGCTATATATCATCCTATCCTCTAAATACATTACAAGAAGTGGTCCCTTTACAATCCTTCCCACATGATCTTATGGGAGCAGGGCTGAAGAGCTTTTTAAATTGAAAAATTATCAAGAGCCACTATATGCAAGCAATTTTTTTCTGAGACAACTATCAACTGTTAAGAACAGAAAATAAAACTT